AGAAACTTTTTGGAGTAATGTAGCGTTGTTTTAAATTATAATTGTCGCCACTCATTACAGTGGGTAACTAATGCAATGAGGGCATTGTTTATAAAAGATCCATTTTGTGTTCATATAATATTTTATTTAAATTCCTCGAGGTTTCTCCTATATATTTCTCATGGCAATGATTACAGTTGATAAATTTCTTCTTAGGCTTTAGCTTATTATTTTGTTTTCTATTAATTAGGATTTTTATTGTTTTAGAAGTAGTTGTAAATTTATGTTGAGTTTAGCTAAATTCTTTTCACTTAGTTTCGCTAGAGTTGGTTTGTAGAAAATATATTTTGATTCATTAGGTTTCACAGAAAGGTCCCATCTTCTCTTTTGAAATATTGTACCATTCTTTTGTTTCACGTTGAATCTGGAGTAAACAGAACGTTTTAAGAATCTTAGGATGCTTGATTTCGTTTAGCAAAAGCGACTCTTGTCTTCATGCAACGCACGTCTAATTATTGACTCCGTCACATTGAGCAGGCGGGCAGTGGCTTTTATTGATTTGCCGCATTGCTCGTCGATTGTACCTTCGATTTACTGAACCAATTTCAGCATTTTTAAAAATGTCTGAACGTAGATATTTTTTAAACTACTGAAGACACATCATTTTCAGAGGCCTGGGCCTATTATCTTAAGCACAAACGGCCACTGCCAACGAGTAGCGAAGACAATTTCATACATCCCCACTTTGTTCCCACAAGGCGTTATGAGTGCTTACACGGAGACAATGGATAACGTTGTCAAGCCCTTAACCACGTAAGTAGATCGGGTGTGGCTGTACATGCACCAGCGAGATAATGTCGACATTTAAAAAGGCTGCAATCTCTAAATCTGTTTGGTTGATCACTAAACCAATGAGGATGACAAGCCTTTACATCTGCGTTAGAGCTGAATATACCATAGCGGCGACGTCTGGAGTGGGGGTGACTTACGGCCATATCAGGGTGAAACACCGGTTACCGTACGATTACGTATGTTAAGCAACGTCTGCTCAGTACCTGGATGGCTGACCGCTTGGGAATACCGTGCTGTTAGCTTGGATTTGCGGCCGGTGTAATGGATAACGACAGGTAAATTAGAAATCAGAGAGCCGTGGAGAAATTCCAGTCGGGTTCGTTATATTCAGCTACGCGGAAATACTCTTGGGTAAGGTATGAATACACCTCGTATATCCGCCAACTATGGTTTAATTAGTAGAACTTGTATCAGTAAATCAATAGTATCTAGGCACCTCCACTAATTCGCGTTACCTAAGGTTTAAAATGATCTTTTTTAAAATGAAAAATATTTCTTGAGTTTTTATTTTAGCTTTAATTTGAAGCTAATAGACTAAATTAAATATTTCTGATAGGCAAAATACTTTAGTGTATTTCAAAACTAATTCAAGTTGACTGGAACGTGTTTTTGTTTTGAAATAAGTAAAAGTCACTGATTTTAGCGCGATTTTAAGCCATTTTGACAGAACAATGTTATTCCCTTTATTAAATAATTCAATTTATCGAAATTTCATAAAATTAAGTAAGTGGTGTGTAAGAGATGTAAAAAAAAAAGAAAGAAAATAACAAGATTTTCTAAAAAGAAAATGTAAAAATAATTTAATTCATCTGTGAATAAGTTCTGAAAATTTTATTAAAATCCAACAATGATTTGATTTTTGTAAGAATTTCCAAATCAATCGGTTTTTAACGCAAGGAAATCCTATACTAATATTTGTCACACACCGCCAGCACTGACACAAGAAAAAAAAAAAGATGTTTTATCCAAAATTTAGAACATGTTAGAAATGATAAAGACGTTGGTTAGATCCAGTGACTAGACCGAAAAAGTTGTCAGTTAAATACCAGACCACAGCAGTAGTGAACCAAAACTTGGGGAGTTGAGTTAAAGGGAAATAACTGAGACATCCGGAAGAGGCATAGCACGTGGAACTAGAAAAATCTACTCCGGTGGACGAAATGAAGGGTTCGGTTCGAAATTCCGATCACCTGAAGAAGGCCAGAGCGTAGAGAGTTGTGATGATGGGGATAACAGTTCGAATAATGTAAATAATGAAAATAATCATAATACCTAATCTCAGAGATATAGGCAGAAATGCTAAAAAGGATTAAAAAAAATTAATAAAACAATTAAAAAATACTTTGGTCTTTCCTCTTAATAATACCAGGAAAATTTTGACGATAAAACTTTTTTTTTTTTTTCTCAAGTTTGGGAATTTTCTCATTATACTTTTTTTCAACGAATTTGTGAAGGTACCTTTTATTGAAAAAAAAAAAATCTTAAAATGTAAAAGTATTTTCTAGCTTTAAATAAACTACAATAGGTTGGTAAAGCGTAAATAATAAAAAAAAGAAACAGCAATTAATTAATCAATCCATGTTCGAACTGGAAACAAAAACAAACAAAAAATAAACAACAAATAAAAAAAAAAACGAAATTTTCAGTTAAAGTATATGTTTAGTCTTTTTTTCTCATTCTCCGTCGCTACCTTCTGTAGGAGATTTTGTAATTTCTCTTCCGTATCTGCTATCATTTCTGTGTCGTCTGCGTATCTTCTAGATATAAAATAAAGGAATACTTCTAAGTATTCCTTTATTTTATATCTAGAAGATACGCAGACGACACAGAAATTAGTGACAATGCTCTGGAAAAACCGGAAAACTTATTATCATTTCATCGCAAAATCTTATTCGTGTGTCCTGGTTAAGACGATACACTCATTATTCTTTTCTTTGGTGCCAAAGAAATGCTCATGTCCCGCAATACTCTGCCCAGCCTTTGGAATGTGTCCTTGGCCATCCCAGTATGCCTACGGATCTCAGAGTCGCACCTACCGTCCGCTGTCATGACGCCTCCCAGATATTTAAACTTCTGCGTCAGTTTGATTCTAGTGTCCCTGACCTGCAAATCGCTTTTCGGGCTATTTCCCTTACTGATGACCATGCATTCTGTCTTGTAGTTTATGCTTCGTCCTTTCTTCTCACTCTCCGTGGCTATCTTCTGTGGAAGATTTTGTAATTTCTTTTCCGTGTCTGCTATCAGTACTGTGTCGTCTGCGTATCTCATTTTAAGGTTGTGGCCGCCAATTCATTACTAATCAAGTATCATTTGATCCGATAAGGTGCTGAATAATTGTTTATTTTCCGGATTACTAATGCTTATAAGACAGCACTTTTCGTAACAGCTAACAACAGCCTACCTTTGAAATGTAAATCACTACCTGTCAATGAATAAAGGAAAAGGAAAAATAAAATGAAAATCAACAGAAAATTTAATGAATCTTAGGTAAGATAAATTAACAGGTAACATTTGTAAGAAAGTTCATCATAAATTTTATTCTAATAGTTTCTTTTCTTTGACTTCTCACCTGGAAAACAATCTTCCAGTTTCTTGCTTCCCTGGCACCTACGTTCTTCAATCTTTTTTAATGCAACATCGATCGCCATTTTCTGTTTTCCTGAAATCTGTTCTCTTATTGTCCTTACCAAAGATATCCTCCCGTCTTGCAATAATCTGCCCAGCTTTTGGAATGTCTTCTTGGCCATCCCAATACGCCTACGGATCTCAGTGTCGCACCTACCATCCTCTGTCAAGACGCTTCCCGGATATTTAAACTTCTGCGTCTGCTTGATTCTAGTGTTCCCGACCTGCAAATCGCTTTTCGGGCTCATCCTTTTACTGATGACCATGCAGTCTGTCTTCTTGTAGTTTATGCTTAGACCCTTCTTCTCGCTCTCCGTCGCTACCTTCTGTAGGAGATTTTGTAATTTCTCTTCCGTGTCCGCTGAATCTAAAAGTATTTTCTGGCTTTAAATAAGCTACAAAAGGTAGATAAGACGTAAATAAATAAATAAAAAATAAATAATTAATCAATCCATGGTAGGGCTGGAAACAAAAAAAAATCGAGATATTTACTAAAAGTTAAACACTTATCACTTTATATTAAGAAATGGACAAAGTCCGACAATTTATTTATTAAAGACATGTTTATGTTTAACGTTCTTTTTTTTTTATAGATACAAGTATTTAAGTAAATGCTCTGTTTATAATAAACAGTATTAAATAACATTTACCGGCCTGAATGTCCGAGAAATTTTCATAGAAAATATTCGTCCTTTGACAGGATTCGAACCTGCATCCTATACAGAACCGTCATTTACGCTGACGTGCCTTAACCGATCGGCCACAAAGGAGCATTCGGTAGGCAAGGTCGAATTTACTGCTTATAAACTTCAATCTTCCATGAATCTCGTACATTCATAATAAATAACTTATCACTTTATTAAGACGTCCTGAAATATCTTACGCACACTGTGGGTTTAAAGTTGTTGCTAATCTAGCTGCAGTGTTCAGTAAAGACTTGAGTATCAATTACTTAGAATCATATTCCTGCTTACATAGTGTCATTTTTACGACAAGTGTAGTATCAAATTTATATCAATAAATGTCTTTGCCTTCCATTTTTAACATGGAGTACATTCCTAGAATAAGTTGATCTTGTTTCATTCTCCCCAAACAAGATTAGCCAAGTTTGCGTCATAGATGGCCATAGATGCGTGTGTCAATATCCAGTTTCACATCTGACCTCTCTTCACTCCTCACCACGAAACCAAATTTGTTGACTCCACTCAGCTCAATATTTTCCAGTTGAATATTTTTATTTGGTAATCCCAAGCAATCGTACATTTCTTTTTTCTTTTTCTCCAATACCATTTTTTTTTTTTTGCTCATTGTCTATGCACCTTGGCGCCACACCTACTATTGCCTTGACAACATAACATGTCTGTAGTTAAATTCACTGTTGACCTAATTGCTAACCTCTTGGCGGGGTGTGAAGAGAGGAACTTCCCATAACAACACACGTCTTGTCTGTCGAAGTTTCCATAAAGAGATGACCAGGAAAAATAGAAATTGTAAAAACGAAATGAAATCATGTATAAATAATTTTATTCATCTGACAAATATTGATGTCTATAAAAATTCCCTCACTCTCATTTCTTTGTATGTCTTCTTCTTATTCTTCTATCTCTGTTATAAATACAAAATACTATCTCTTTTTCTTTTCTTTACATCGCTCATTTTCCTTTTCTTTTTTATCTCTCTCTCTCTCTCTCTCTCTCTCTCTCTCTCATTATAAACAGAAAATTAACTTTCATTTCTTTCCTTTCTTTTATTTCTTATATCTGGATTTGGATTCTAGCGATCTGATTTCAAATCGAATCATTCCTTTGGATTTTTATCTGTGGGACCACCTAACACAGATGTCTTATACAACAGACATTAATAATACAGACACGCTTATATCAACGTATCATGAGAGCCTGCGAATGCATTCGACACACGAATGAGAGTATTTGAAAGGGTCCACCAGTCAATGATCCGACGGGTGCATGCGTGTGTAGAAGCAAGTGGAGGACACTTTGAACATTTGTTATGAGTTGCTGTGTTGAGTTAAAGATGTTTTTTTATGGACATTTTACCTTGTCTTGGTGTGAGTAGCCAGCCACGAATATTTGTATATATATATATATATATATATATATATATATATATATATATATATATATATAAGCATTTCACATCAGTCAAGACGGGAGTGTCATTTGTACGCAAGGGGTTACAGAGTATGTGAGCAAGAGTAAAAAGAGGGTTGTTTGAGGAGAGGACATAGAGAAGGACGGGGATCAGGATCAAGGAATCAGAAGATGTCGATTAACATTAAATTTTAATACTTGAAGATTATAGCTATCAGGAGAGCAATTAAGAGGAAGAGAATTCAACTGTTGGGAAGTGTGAGAGAAGCGGTTGGAATAGAAGAAGCGGTTATATTTAACCATTTCAACAGTGAAAGTTTGGCACAGAGATGCCAGCCTAGTAGCACGTTTAAATTCATGCAGTTGGGGTAACAATGAAAGTAGCTCATCAGAATAGTTGTCATGAAAATATTTATAGAAAAGACAGAGGGAAGCCACATCATGTCCGTGAGAATGTCACTGTAGACGAGATGATATATATATATATATATATATATATATATATATATTGTGTGTGTATTTAGGTAGCATTTTTACATTCATACATGTTTCATTAAATAATATAGACAAGTGTTGTCTATTTATTTTATGTAAATTCTATTCATAACGTCTGATAAGCTTAATAACATTATCATTAACCGAAGAAAGATAATCACAATATTCATCCATATTTTTTAATCCAATTTAAGCTTTCGGCTTACATATGCCATTATCAAAGATGTCAATTACTGTACAACATATTAAGCAATATACGGCCAAGACAGTGATCAGTTATAAACAAGATGAAAATATACTAAAAAATTTAGTAGATACTAATATATCAACAACAGGTCCTAGCAAAAAAATTAAATTAATCATATACTAAACTAAATCTAGTATATCCAACTTAATTCTTCGCAATGATTCTTCTCCCCCGGTTAGCGATTTGTAAAAAAAACAACACAGTTTATAAATCCAAGTGCCCTTGGAAGATTGTATCTCCAACGAATTAAATAATATTTATGTTGGTCACACCACAAACTCACTTTCACGACGCTTGACACTACATTTGAATGAAAACTCTAACCTTTTTGGGCATTTAAAACAACATGCCTGGCCGCACACACAATTTTATATACTTGTCGAAAACACAATTATACTTCGGCATGAAAACAATAGACAAAAACTAAAAATCCTCAAACAGTTGAAACCCAACCTAAACAAAATCAACTATGGAATCTCTACAAGTATCCTTAAATGTCTATAATAAGCGTTATCTTCTCCACATATCCCAACAATATATCTTACTCTGTAAACCTCGGCCTTGAGTTATTCTTGGGGCTTGTAAACGGAGGAACATTACTGTAAAATAAAATCACTGCTTTCATTCCAATTAGATTATAATCTCTCTCTTGGATATACCTATATTGAGCAGTCCGGGGTATGATGATAAACGACATCCAGTCGTAAGTCCTCTTAACGGGAAATTGGAGATTTTGAGAAGTGTGGAAATATCTCTTAATTGCTGTTGTACCCAGATTTGATCTGACCCGGAGTGGTATCATCTGTTAGACTCGCAGTTATGGGCAAATAGTGAAACCCCAAACAAATATAAAACACTGTGAAAGTATAAAAATATATTTATATAGCAGAAACATATCTTTATAGCAGAACTGGAGTTGAAAATAAAGATTGACATTGCCTTTACACTTTTGAAGATCAAAGTTGACTGGAAAGCAAGGAGCTGGAAAATAATTCCAAATGCGAGAAATGCGAGGGAAGAAACTGTTAACATAGAACTTACGGTTACATCTAGCAATTTCAATTGTAAAATGATGAGACCTACCCGCCAATCTAGTAATGCGCTTTCTTTATTTTTTATTCATTGCCTCTATTTTCATTCATTATTTCCTATTATTTAATTTCACTTCGTGCTTTCTATTTCATTCACTACTTTCTATTTTTCTTTCTCGTTTTCATTACTACTTCCAATCATTTACTTTTCTCTTTCTTTCTTTCTTTCGTTCTTTCGTTCTACTTATCCCTTCTTCACTTTCTTTTCGTCTTTCTATTACTACTTAAAATGATTTAATCTTTTCTTTCTTTCTTTCAACGTTCCACTTCTGCACTTTTCTTTTTCTTTTCCATTATTGCTTAAAATTATTTCGTTTTTTTTCTTTTCTCTTTTCGTTCTTTTTCTCTTTATGTTTTTCTTTCTTTCTTTCTTTAGCTTCTTTTCCCTTTCACGTCATTAATTAAAATCGTTTACTCTTTCTTTCTTTCTTTCTTTCTTTCTTTCTTTCTTTCTACGTTTCCCTTCACTTTCTTTTCTACTTCCAATTATTACTTAAAATCATTTACTAGTCTCTTTGTTTGTTTGTTTGTTTGTTTCTTTCTTTCTTTCTTTCTTTCTTTCTTTCTTTTTTTCTTTCTTTCTTTCAACGTTCCACTTCTTCACTTTTCTTTTTCTTTTCCATTATTGCTTAAAATTATTTCGTTTTTTTTCTTTTCTCTTTTCGTTCTTTTTCTCTTTATATTTTCTTTCTTTCTTTCTTTCTTTCTTTCTTTCTTTCTTTCTTTCTTTCTTTCTTTCAACGCTCACCTTCTTTCTTTTCTTTTCTCCTACCCATTATTAATTCAAAGGATTTAATTTTTTGGTTTGTTTGATTCTTTTTTTTTTTCTTTATCTCTTCTTCACCTTTTTTTTTACTCTTCTCTTCATTAATTCTATTTCTTTCTTTCTTTCTTTCTTTCTTTCTTTCTTTTTTCTTTCTTTCTTTCTTTCTTTCTTTCTTTCTTTCTTTCTTTCTTTCTTTCTTTCACTTTTCCCGTTCCTATTATTACTTAAAATCATTTACTTTCTTTCTTTCTTTTCTTTCTTTCTTTCTTTCTTTCTTTCTTTTCTTTCTTTCTTTCACTTAAAATCATTTACTTTATTCGTTCCTTTCATTTCTTTCTTCGTTCCTTTCTTTCTTTCTTTCTTTCTTTCTTTCTTTCTTTCTTTCCCGTTCCTATTATTACTTAAAATCATTTACTTTCTTCGTTTCTTTCTTTCTTTCTTTCTTTCTTTCTTTCTTTCTTTCTTTCTTTCTTTCTTTCTTTCTTTCTTTCTTTTCCGTTCCTATTATTACTCAAAATCATTTACTTTCTTCGTTCCTTTCTTTCTTTCTTTCTTTCTTTCTTTCTTTCTTTCTTTCTTTCTTTCTTTCTACGTTTCCCTTCACTTTCTTTTCTACTTCCAATTATTACTTAAAATCATTTACTAGTCTCTTTGTTTGTTTGTTTGTTTGTTTGTTTGTTTGTTTGTTTGTTTCTTTCTTTCTTTTCTTACCTCTTCTTTAGCTTATTTGCCCTTTCACGTCATTAATTAAAATCGTTTACTCTTTCTTTCTTTCTTTCTTTCTTAATTCTTTCCTGTCTCCGTTCACGTTTTCCTCTTCACATTTCTTTCTCCTTTCTTCCATAACTTAAACGTGTTACCTCTTTTCCTTTACTTTCTTTCCCCGCGTTTCCTCCATTCAGCACTCCCTCCATTGCCATCTTCTGTCACAGATGACGATATCTAGTTCTGTGTAAAAAGAGCATAAAATACCTTCATTCAATCCATTTCAGCGAGAGTTGCCCTTGCAAATGTTTGCCGGTTACTAATCCTAACCGTCACCCCCGACCATCTTAATTTCGCCTCTTTCTATCAAATTGCACATTTGAGTCCTGTTCTCAACACCTATTGATTTCAAGAGCCTAGAATTGCACACACAAGAATCTCTTTCGATTTCACCCTGCAAGACCCGAATACTGACAACCCATAAATCATCGAAACGACATGACCAAACGATGTAAATCGAACTCTTGTATTCCCCAACTACACCATTTTCACCCCGGTAGCCTGACCGGTCAAATTTGATTCAATACCGAACATTGATTGATTGATTGCCTATCAATTAAAAAAAAAAGTCCTTTACTGCCTGTATATTAAAATATAATGTGCTTTCGTTCGTTTGTTTATTCGTTGTTTCAAAAGCTTTGAATACCGTTTTTGTCATGTCACGATCGGACGGAATTTGCTTCACTAGACTGGCGCCATTTTCTTGTGATCCGAGGATCATTTTATATTGTTTTTATTTCCTTCTGAGTTGCACATATAACTATATTTCTATCTACCGCTATCCTCTTTCTCTCTCTCCCCACTCTGTGTCTATAAATGAGTGCTGAAAAGTTATCAGCTTAACAATGAATAACTTTAAAAATAGAAGATTTCTTCAGCTTTTGAGAAGTGAGTTTCATTAAGAATTCTTCAGCAAACCCTCCTCTATACCAAACGCAAAATAGAATACCAACACCCCTCAGCGAAATATTACAAGAAATCGCACTCAATATAAGTTGTTGGTTGATTTTGTTTAGCGGCATATCAACAAATTTATGGGTTATTTAATGATAAAATCGAAATATTTTTAACACAATTGTATGTCTTTAACTACATTTGAAATGTATTGTTAGTTATTTTCCTATAATATGCATTGTTAGTAATTCTACTAAAAATAATATTGTTGGTCATTTTACTTTAAACAGGTATTACTGCTTATTTTACTATAAATAGGTATTTTTGTTAATTTTGCTATAAATAAGTATTCTTGCTATAAATACGTATTTTTGCTATATAAAAATTAACTATAATTAAGTATTTTTTTATACTTTCATAGTATTTTGTTTTGTTTAGGGTTTCACTATTTGCCCATAGCTGGGACCCTAACAGGTGCTACCACCCCGAGTCAGGGAGGATCTGGGAATAAAAACAATTAAGAGGTGGTTCCACACTTCTCAAAACCTCCAATCTCCCAATCAGACTTCTTTCTACCGGATGTAGTTAATCGTCATATCCGGGACTGATCAGTATCAGTATTTCCAAAAGAGGATCTATAATCTGGAATTAGAATGAAAACGGTGATATATTTTTTTACAATAAGCTTTCCTATGTACAATGCCCAAGAGACACTCGAGGTAGAGTGTTACAGAGTAAGAGCTATGTTTTATCGTGGGGAAGATAACGGTTAACCCAAAACGTGAACAGATTAAGATTGTAGCGATCAAGGAAACATATACTCTGTTGTCTCTTCAATAGAGATGTAGTTCATGGGAATAATCTGCTCGAAGGGAACTTACATCTCATCAATGAAATACGAAGAGAATGAGGTTGGTTCACTACAGTTGGCACTATTGCGACTATTCCCAGGAAGCATTCTGCTTTGACGGACACGTTGGGCATACGTGACACCATTAGGTGTGCACAGGTAGCAGTAATGCTTGGAGCAGCTCATGTGATAAGAAGAGTGCTGTCTCTTCTGGGAACCGGCTTCACAAAACAGGTTCGGGCGAATATATAACGAGCTTCCAGAGTTTAAACTTTTTGCTTATTATTATCTTGATGACGCGCTAGTGTATTTTCGACTAATATCTATCTAAACTGTGAATTTGGACACAAGTGTTCCTTTAAATGTTCTGAGATTGAACTATGATTGTTCAAGTGAAACGTAATCCTTCTTGTCATCATCGTTGTTGTAAAGCCAACATACGTATTAATAATTTTAAGAGATGCAGTCTCCCAACTGATATTTAACTTGATATACGATGTTGGTCTTTGTAAGACAATAACTGACGTAGAAGAGTTTTTATAGGTGTCTAGGTTGGTTGTATTAAATTTAGTATAGTATATAATTAATTTTATTTTTTTTTTATTTCGATCAGTGGGGGATATATTAGTGTTTATGTGTCTTTTTAGATGTTTTCATCCTGCATTTGATTGCGATATAATACTTTGATATGTTTACAGTTATTTGAAGACGTATTATGTTAATTTTTTTTTGCTAATATTTCGAATAGCTCGTCTAATTTGTTCATCAAAATTAAGATAGTCATTATCAATGAGGGTTTGTTTAATTTTTTTTTTTTTTTAATTCAGTATAGAAAATCTTCCTTGTTGAAGAGTTTGCTTTTACACGGTTTATTAAGCATCGTATTATAGCTATTTTCTAATATTTAGGACATTCACTTTTATTGTTTAGAGTGCACGTTTTTATGCTAGTTGTTTTTTATGTATGAGAAGGTAGTAAATGTTCACGTGAACATACGTGAGGAGACAACCCGACATAGTGTTATAACAACAAAAGCGACAAAAAGAATATCTAAACAAAGCTTCGAGTGACAACTTAACGTTAATGAGAAGCAAGCGAGATAAACCAGAATAATTGATAATGTTCCATTTAAAAGTATTAGATAATTAAAAAAAAAAGTCCATATCCAGCTAGAAAATTAATAACAACATTTTAAATAGTCACAAAAAATCATTTAATAATGAAGTACATAGTATTCATTGTTTTTAACAGCTATCTCTCATTGTTCTAAAAGCATGTTGATGTCATCTTCTTAAAAAAAACTTCGTGTTATTGACTGGAAAAAGGCTTATAGTATTAGTTTAGATGCAATCAGAAAACGGATTCTATATTCCCACCGTCGTAACAGGGCTTTACTGTATTTTTTTTCTAGTTTTCCATTGCAATTGTTCTAACTTTTCCTCCTTGTCTAATCGTACTAATAGATTGGCAATTAGGTCTCATGAATTTACTATTGAAATACCTAAATGTAATCATAAGTTCTATTATAAAAAAAAGGTTTTCTCTTTTTCTCTCACTGTCAGTAAGCTCTTGCGTCTTAGTGGCATTATCGCCTTGCCTGTGGTTATAATGGGAATAGTGTTAAGAAAAGTTTATTCACATTTCCTCCGTTATGGGCTTTATTAAATCCATCGTACTTCACGGACAGATCAGAATGGCAACCACGCTTTATTCTCAGAGACGCCTTATATAAGTAATACACACACAAAACTATAAAAACACACTTACAAATGTCCAACGAGGAGAATAATATATCGCATATATCTACACATCGAGCAGAGTGTAAGGAGAAGCAAAAAAAGAAGGGTCTTGCATACAATATGGAGAGTCTTCTGTTTCTCGAGAAGCCATGTTTAGGACTCCAGATTTCAACGGGCCGGATTCATCTATGTCCCAGGCAAGGATAGATTTCACCAACGGGAAACAGCGAGTTTTGGATTTTCCCAAATTGAGGACTGCTAGCTGGAGTTTCATTCTATATCTGGGAAAGATATATTACCAAAGGGAAACGGCACTGTGGACTTGTAAACTGCTGGGGAGAAAGATTTAGCCTCGACCCGGGTCATGAGGGGTCCGGGCTAAGGAAAACAACTTCTCGGTTTGTTTACTGTAAGCTGACTGGTATTGACAGGCCACTTTCATTACTCTATGGAGTGACGACACTAAACGGCCGTTACGCGATCCAAGTCACTATCTCGACTAAAGGAAGATAATTGACTTCTGTGTCCCTACAGGGTGAAATGATAAAAAAAATCTAGAGCATTCTGGCTGGAGCATATGATAACGTTATTTGTTGCCCGTTTCTAAATTCCAACACACTTACACTCAGGTTTTGTCTCTCATTCTGACCTGAAGACGCCTTGCATAAACAGGCGAAAAGCATTGTCTAAAGATGCTATTCCATTTTGTCTACTTATCTCTACACCGGGAGCTGTGCAGACCTCCTTGTCCAGCATTGATAGCGTCTC